CGTCACTGCCATTAGTGCGTCCATTAGTGTCGTGATCTAAAGGCCGCCTAACTTGACTGCTAGTGGAGTGGCCCTGACTGTCAAGCGGCAACTCCCCGTCACCTGTCAAGCGGCAACTCTCCGTCATCTGTCAAGAGGCAACTTCCGTCATCTGTCAAGCGGCAACTCTCCGTCACCTGTCAAGCGGAAACTCTCCTTCATCTGTCAAGCGGCAACTCTCCGTCATCTGTCAAGTGGGAACTCTCCGTCATCTGTCAAGTGGCAACTCTCCTTCATCTGTCAAGCGGTAACTCTCTGTCACCTGTCAAGCGGCAACTCTCCGTCCTGTAATTTTTTCCTGAGGAGTGATGACGTCATACATTTCAGTCGACATCGAAATCGTTCACGCGTTTACTGAAATGGCTTCCGCATTCAGATATTAACACTGGCAAGTATTGGGAATATTCTCAGTCCAACTAATGATTAGCCCGAGTTAAACTACTGCCCATGCATGCGGGATTTGAAGCATATGTTCTTGTTATGACATATCATACATGGCAATTGTAAGAATGTTATCCGCACTACTGCCCGGAATAGGACCTGTTGCAAGGCCTAGCCAGTCAAGTTAAAGCACTTCGTCTCTGGTGTTCTTGCGAGGCTGACTGAGCTATTATAGGCTGCAGTACGCTATTCTCGGGTACGAGTGAATTTGGATTAGTGCTCTTCAATTAGTGTCTATATGGATTATTGTATTTTGGATTATGGAATTATCTTCTTGTATTGTTCATTTCGACGTGTATTTATTGTGTCATCCATTTATCTCGGCAGGACAGAGTGAAGTCCCTCTTCTCTCTGTAGTTGACTAAGCTAGTTTTGAACGCGATTCTAAGGGGGATTTCTGTTGGGATTTCCAGAATAAATATATAATCTTTTGATCTATCAACTGAACCCGACATCATCACAGCAATCATCAGGCATATTAATAAGAAAAATCTGCTTGTGCGCGCGCAGCATAGATTTTATGATATTTTTACCAACTTTTGTTCAATAGGTTATTGCCTATCAACAGATGAGAGTACTCGTATAACTATTTCTGCAAAACTATTATGAGAGAAGTTCCTAGCTCACATCTTTATTTGAATTGCATATTGAGTTGGCGCTAAATACATAGACAAACTCTCAGCGTTTTATTTTATCCGCTTAGTCTTAAAATTGAATTGAGATGCACAATAATGTTTGTGACGGCAGTGGTAAGAATAGTTCAGTCAGGGATACAATTGCCTGACGAGAATCAACGCATGACCGAAGTTTTCAGTAGCTATGAATAAGATGCAACGTTTGTCATACAAATTCATCTGTGAAGATTCTAAAAAAGTGAGCTATATTACTGTTGAACCCTGCGCGCTCCACAGCTCCTATGGCCTAGATTAAAGGTCGACTCGTGTATTTTTGAACCGCATGTTAACTCAAATTGAGTTTATGAAAGCTTGGACACTGCTGCTGCCCACGACACCCGCCTCTTGATGTGGCGTCCTTGTCCCACCGCCGAGGACATTTTGATCGCTAGGTCATGTAGAAGCATCAAACAGGGCATGTTTTCTTTACTGAAAACATAGAATAACATATGTAGTGAAGTTTCATATTATACAAAGAGCGCTTGGATAAATGTCTATATAGTGTTGATCCAGAGCAAGCCTCTTTTTCAAGTAGTATTTACTATCAACATATATTCAATATATAAAATAAAATTTGCAACATGACAGCTGCTCGCAGATTATTGCCCACATTTTAATAATAATATTCTAATATTTAAGGCCATGTCAGAAATTGGTGCTGCAAAGATGTCGCGAACTTGTAAGTGATTATTATATGTTCGATACGTGTTGGAGTGGTAGACAACACGTATCGAAACATAGTATCTCGTACCGTAATCTTTCTGTTCATTATTCTCACCAAGGTGGATTACTTTACATTTGTCAGCATTAAAACGCAGCTGTCACTTATCAGCCCTTATCTGCCACTTATCGGCGCATAAAAACCGAATTATTGCGCTATCACTATCAGTACAATTGTAATATATTTAAAAATTATAGTAATTTCTGACGCAATTTAATGTACATGAAATACTAACTTCAATTTTGGGTAGAGAACGGAAGTGAAACCTAAATCATATACCGTTATATCACACGCAGTTTGTTTTAGCCTTTAGCATGTGCCTGCTAGCTCAGTGGCAGAGCTCTCGAATCGTGTTCACGAGTGGTCGAGGGTTCGATCCTAGTACGGGCTAAATCAAACATTTTGTCACGTATATATTGACAAGTAGTAAATTAGGTTTTAAGTAGAAAACTCGAACTATTTTTACGCCGAATTTTGCAACTGATTAAATCGTGGTGATGTTATAGACGTGAAATCTCGAATTATCATTTGAGCATGAAACTGCACTAGTCAAACTCAGTAGAAATGACATACGCTATGCTGCTCGAAAATGAACGACAAAAGATTTATTATCTCTGCGTAACTTTACTATGCAGGACTTAACTCATGCATTGTGAAAAGTGACGTTTAGAAAGATATCGCAGTGCGTGCCTCGAGGCATGACTGCGGCGACACGCGCCGTCGAACGAGGCTCGTGACGTAAGTCTGAGATAGAAGTATTTTTGACCATCGTATGAAATCCTCAATCGATACTAAGCCGCTACCTTTGCCAGTCGTTACCCTTGAGCTTGTAGTCTTTGTAATATGATATCCTATCCAGCCTCTTTTTTCGGTAACGGTCGGCTTTCAGGTGGCCAAGGAATGGCCATCGGTCGGATAGATCTAATTGGCCTCTGCCGACCGCTGGTCACGGATTATTCCTCGCACCTCATTGAGTTCCCCTTCTCCGTACCACCCGTCGTGGACTGACAGGTGTAATTTACGACGTGTTTCCTCTCATGCCTCCCACAACGCCTGCATTTGAACAGTTAGTATACGGGTGTTTCACTGCACATGAGAGTATGCTCGTATATTACTAGTGTTTGGTGAAAAATGTCTACCAAGTGGAGGCTGATTTAAATATGTATTTTATACCGATCAATAGAGAATAAATAGTCTACTTCCTTATGTCTCATAAGTTTAGGTACGTCGCATATATAATGAACATCGATATACAATATTTTTTATCATAACTGATGGTATACAAAGTTTGCATTTTCTTGTTATTTTATATTGTAAATAAGAGAAATTGTAAATAAATGGCTGAATAAACAAGAATATTATCAGATTTATATTTATTTACGCGCGGAGTTATAATGAATCAATGAATAATCCATCCAAAAGGGCCCAAGCCGAGCCTGCCTGAGGGCTCGCGGTTCTCAACATGGGGCCGGATTATCAAAACTTCGTATATTTTTATACGTACGTACAAAAAAGATACGTGTTGCGTAAGTACACCCTAATTTTGGAATTACCTAAACTTTCGTACGCAAGACTCATCTGTAAAGATATTATTTCAGTATCAAGTTCAAGCTCCCGTTGGTTCAACGCGCAGAGCGCGTGGATGAAAGGAGGTTACATGTCGAGTCAGTGGCATCTGCGTAGACTGACTAAGGTGAATAAGGAGAAATGAGAGAGACGTTATCCAAATAGCAATGCACTTGTTGTAATCATTAATAAAAATTTCTTGCAATCAGGGCAAATAATTGCACTATTCCCATTCAAAATTAGAAGATTTTTTAGAGAGACCTAGAATTCACAAAATTTTAAGAGTTGGAATTGCGACTGTCAGAGAAAGAAAGAAATATGTGTACGGAGCTAAAAAAAATGGTTGGCTTGGCAAACTCCATATAATTTTGAATCAAAAAGACATAAAGATATTATTTTAGTGAATGATCATAAAACTCTTAGACAGAATTATCAACATTTGCTCGTAATTTAAAACACAAGAGGAAAACAAATTAGCTTCTGGCAACACAATTGAAATTGTTTTCACCGTTTAGCACGATCCCATATTATACCTAAGTCGAATTATTGACAAAATTCTATTATAATTAAACTTGTTGCTAGTAAATTAATAGTTTCATATTGCTTCAACACTCAAAATTAGTACGTAACTCCACTACGACACCTCCGAACAGGCGCACAGTTACGCACAAATTCTTGTACCTAGATTCCCGCGCATGTTTTGATAATACCACCGCTAGAGTTTCGTCTTCATATCAGCACTTACGCAATTCGTAAGTGGCTACGTGTACCTAGCGATGTTGTGATAATCCTGCACCTGACGCGCTGTAGTTTAAGCAGCGTATGGAACAGTGTTTTGATTGATGAAAATTGGCTGTTGCCGTAATGAAATCCATCACAAGCGAATATAGCGGACCATGCTAGTCGACTTTTGTACAGTTCACCAAAACCTCATTTGACTGGTAACCATATTGGCTCTGAGCATTCATTAATGAATAAAGACTTTCCAGTATTGCCTCACAACCTACTTTAGCCAGTGCAACATCGAAAGCGAGAAAGAATTGCTTTCCAAATTTTGTGTAAATGTCTGAATTGCGGTGCATTATTGAAATAAGGTTTTCCTCTTTGAAGGTAACTTGCTCTAACTTTATTGATTGAACATTGAACGTAACTTTATCTTTGTGTTACTAAACTTTTCTTATTTTGAAGGTAACAGATCTCTAGCAGCTTGCTGGGCTTCGGACCGATCGTTGCTCAAATCCAGTTTTTTTCTACCCACACGGCCACCCAGGCTGTTTTGATTAGGACTCTCGTAACAAGCTGGGATCGAACCCGCAACACACTGCAACAATTTTAGTACTCTCAACTGTAACCACTTAGCCACCCTGCCGATTACAATTATTAGTCGCAGCAACAATAATTTACTTAGGAAATTTAAAGGAGAATCGCCGCAAAGACTCGTTTTTTCTTATTAAACTTCGTTTTTAGCCTATTAAACTGAACTGCCAGCCTAGCGACGGTATTCAAAAGTATTCAGTATGGTGAGCAATTAAGGAATGTCAGGATAAAGAAAGGTTGGATCTAGATTTATAGATCTTGTGGTTAAATGTAGCAAAAATATCACGCTCTGTCTAAGAATACATTATCCGTCGGAGAGGTTATTCCTTTCTATATGATTAATGACGACAGAAATATCATCAACCATGTGGCATTATTGAACGACAGCTGCGCGATTTCCAGAGATAAAAAAAATTAAACTTGGACAAGAAAAAATGCAGAAACACACACAGATAATAAGTTTGTTGCGCTGTTTACGACAAATTACAAGAAAAAGAACGTGAAAAGGAATATGAAATGGAACGCTTAATACGATCCTGAAAAAGGTCAGAAAAAGAAATCCCTTGGCGTCGATACCACTACAAGAACAAGTATAAATCACACATCCGTCTGACAAGGAATCCTTAACATGTGTTTGAGCACAATCCCTGGACGTCCGTCTCTGTCCCACTATTGTCACCAAAATAATCTCGCATCAGCTCCCCCAACTGAGGACAGATGAGCGTTAGTTCTATTGCTCCTGGGCTTCAGTACCTAAGACGTGCCTCAGGCAGTTGACGACGTAATCGCATCAGTGTAGCCGTAGACGTAGCCCTACAAAACATCTTCCGAAGTTGTAATGACAAATTTGTATCGTTGAAGTACCTAGGATAGAAAAATCCCCATTATACAAAACCAAATACTCTTGTAATTTGGAAATGTTGTCTTTCTTGTATCTTTGGGAGTTCGCCGACGACAGATAGGACTCCGTTTTGCTCCATTTACCTGAATGTTCAATTATGAGTCAAAATAAAATTTTGACACGTTTAGTGATGAATTTTGGGTTCAACGCTCCATCAGTGAATCATCACCACTTGAAATGCACCGTATCAACGGTCCCAGGCTAGACGAGTCACCGTATCAACGGCGGTCCCAGGCAATACGAGTCAAGGTATCAACGGTCCCAGGCAAGACGAGTCACCGTATCAACGGTCCCAGGCAATACGAGTCACCGTAGCAACGGTCCCAGGCAAGACGAGTCACCGTATCAACGTTCCCAGGCAAGACGAGTCACCGTATCAACGTTCCCAGGCAAGACGAGTCACCGTAGCAACGGTCCCAGACAAGACGAGTCACCGTAGCAACGTTCCCAGGCAATACGAGTCACCGTATCAACGGTCCCGGGCAAGATGAGTCACTGTATCAACGGTCCCAGGCAAGACGAGTCACCGTATCAACGGTCCCAGGCAAGACGAGTCACCGTATCAACGGTCCCAGGCAAGATGAGTCACCGTAGCAACGGTCCCGGGCAAGACGAGTCACCGTATCAACGGTTACTCAACTTCCTCGGGAGGATGAGGAAACCTCGGTAAAATGAGGAAGTCGTGGCGGAAGTAAAGGTATTCTCTAAGAAGAGCTGGCAACACGTCTCGCAAGCCTTCCGTCTTCTCTTCAATCCTGCAGTGGCCGAGGGAGGCTCGGATGGAGAGGCGACACAGCTCCTTCAGCGACCGCAGCGGCGCTATACACCAACAAAATTCAATGTTCATTAATGCTAAGCTAATAGACCATTATTAAATAATTATAATATCGATCGTTTACAATTAGAACGTTCGAATAACTTTTTTTTTTATTTTATTTTTATTTTTTTTATAACTGCATACACATCAGTTTAAAAAAATGAAAAAAGTAAAGAAAAACTACATTGAAAAAAATAAAAAAAGTTAAAAAATAAAAAAGTACTTTAAATTAAAAGTTCAACTAGGGAGAGCCGAAGTTTTAGGAAATCCTTTCTTCGAGTGGAGTTAAGAAGGAGGTCCATTAACCCTAAGTAAAGTGCCTCGCTCAATGATTTAAACGTACCCATTTGATTTAAACGTGTCACTACGTTTTCTGGACGATAGAAATTTTCCAGCGGCCTCACTTCGTCATCGCAACGAGACCCAGAAGGCGTAGGAGTCCGAAGCTTCCACCTCGGAGCATAACGGTGAACAATGGAGAACATGAGCCGCCTACTTTCGGCACGCGCCCTTGTAATTTCTGCCTCGCTATTCCAGAAGACAGAAGAACTAACTTTTAACATCATAGATATTTTTAACTCATTGGTCTATATTAATATTAATCCAACAAGTACCATAATTGTATATCAGTAATTGGCTGAGACACTTACTCCAGGAATAATTCGTGCACGCCGAGATGGAGCAGCATAAGCACAAGGAAATGATGTCCTCCTCTAATGCCACGCCTACACAAATCCGTCATCATGGGCGACCTGGGGCACACAAATGAAAATAATGGGACGACGCTCGGAGCATGAGGCTAAAGCACGAATGTGAATAGTATCATATGTATAGTGGTAATGTAAATGTTTACATATGCATCAGCTGTGAAGCTACCTCGCATCGAATGATTTATTGCAATGCAGATACTTTCATCTAAACGAACCCACCTGAACCAGCACTGCCCCTCTTCACAGCAGTTCCTGGTCAGCTCTGATAACAGAATTCGATACGGTGACTCCGGCGAGTGCACAATAGCTTGGATATCAACGTCAGTTTTTTGAAGACTTAGGCGACGTATGCATGGACCAGATAAGTATGCTGCCGCAGATGACACTGTCAGCCTTAAACCTGGAAAGTGTTAATACGCACGTGTCTCGAGAGTTCTTGGGAGCATATAAGTACTCATATCGTCAGTCAGCTAAAATAGCAAGTTCACCAAGAGTGATCGTCAAGTAAATTCACCAAATATTCATTAAGACATTTCGGGGACCAGCTCCAATAGCAGTCCAAAAAATAAAACTTTAGAGAATACAAGATAAATCAGCAGAAAAAAATCCAAATATCCACGAAAAAGACTTAAGTGACGAGAAAACGACATAAAAAACTAGTCCGGTTACAATATCAAAGGAATAAGAATTATATGCGTTATTAAGACAATGTTTCCGTTTAAAAATATGCAGTGATTGTAAAATCATTGGATCGGCCACCATAAGTGGCACCGAGTATCTCTAAATGGCTCTCAGACACAGACACGTCGCACTATTCAGCATAAAAGCGCACAGCCAAGTGAGAAGGCATGGAAAATGTTCGAACGAAAGCTGCTACCGCGATGCTCAGAAACATGTGTGTAGACGTCGTCATTCCGACGTATGCTGATGCGCAGAGCACAAAACTTTATTAATAGACCAGGTTAGACAGCATCTGGGCAGGAACAACGTCCAACTATCCGAAGACAGAACCAATTTTGAAATCATTCACCAGCAAAACCTGCAAATTAACACTCGCGAAATGTTAATTTTTCTGCAGCAAAAGCGCCTTTACTCAACAACGCGTACAGTTCCTATACCAGTGGTTCCCAAAGTGGGCGATATCGCCCCCCTAGGGCGGTGGAAAGATTTTGGGGGGCGGTAAGGAAGAAAAAGGCGGTAGGGGGGCGGTAGAGGGGGCGGTAGAGGGGGCGGCAGTCCGAAGTCGAAGTCAGAGTTCAAATGTTTGTTTGACGATTTGTACACAACACGTGCAGCACATGACTCCCAGCGATGTTTTTTTTCCCCCAGATCTGTGTTTTTTACCTCTCCCGGGTTTACGCCTCGTACAAATTAACGGCCGGACTCGCGGCCGGTCTCACGGCCAATTTCCAAATTCAATGATCAAGGAAAGTCTCTCAAACTAACGAACTTGACTTGATGAAACTTGGTACACGTATTCATAAGGACACGTATTCATTGGTACACATATTCATTCACTATAGGGAGCCAAAGGGGGCGCCAGCCTGAAAAAGTTTGGGAACCACTGTCCTATACCCTTGAAAATGTAAATCGTTATATTTTTACGTTGCTTTGTCGATGTCTTGTACCTAAAGTTTTGACCTTTCTCGAGTTTGATATTCGCTGTTAATGTATGAGCATTCTCTAGGTTTCATCAACTTCTGATGCTGGTATCTCAAACGTTTTCATGAACATATGGTGAACTTACTTGACGTTTCCTTTGTTTTTAAATTCTTCTCGAAAATAATGTTGACAACATATATTGCATGTATCTTGTTTTTTTATCAGCTGATGATATTAATTATTTATTCTCTGCCAAAAGTTCGTACACGCCAGAAAATAGAAGCGTTGAAAATCAAGCCCATGCTCCCTCCCAAATGCAACACTCACCTTTCTGTTTCATCAGTGGCAGGAGCTTCAAGACAAGGGGAACCGAACATAAAGTCGTCTCGTACAGCACAAGGTTGAGGACGTCAAGATCTATTCCCTGGAGCTCACTGCCAGTATGTTTAAATATTTATCAAGAAAATACATAATTAATAAGTAGCACGAGATGTATAGAATATCGAACTTCTTTCAATAGGGCGTTTCCCCGAAAGACAAGACCTCAAGTAATATTCGGATCCTTACAGACGTATCATTGGAATCATAAGAGTTACGATATTTCAAACAAATCAGGTGATCATCGGACGAGAGAGGCTGGAGTAAATAGTCTGGTAAAGATTGTCAACAAGTCTCTTGGGTTTCTAGAAAAGTTCTACTTTCTGTAGTGTTTTCCGAAATAGTAGAATCGAAAGATAAAATTACAACTTGCCACGTGTGAGCAGCTTGCCGTTGGCCCAAAATTTAAATGTCTATACTTGGAGCCAACGCTCAGCCTGAACATGCACAACAAAACTCAACCTAAAAGCTACGAAGTCAACGACAACGCAAAAAACCCATTCCACACCAATTCCGAAAATGCTTGAAGACAGTCGAAAATAGTCGAAGTCCACAGCCACTTCTACAGTCTACGTAGTCGTCATGGAAGCTACATCCCAGCAAGGCAGTGCCAGCAAACTTACCCCAAATCTCCACCTTCTTGCAGCCAATGAGGTTATGCTAGGTCCGGTTACGTTTGTTTGGATGGAGACTGGAGAGTTGGGGTAAGTGTGGAGGTAGGCTCATGCTGGGGTGTAGCATCCATGATATATACAGGCAGGAGCTGTGGCTGCGGACTTGCAGCGTCTATGGCTCTTGGCACTTAACTTCACGGGAAGGTGAAGGGGGTATTGGGCAGTACCGGCCACTAACATGCATCTGCATTCTACAACTATCTCCTACAAGCCGATGCAAATACTAATTTATATATTTGCATCCATAGATGGATTGAATATATCCATAGATAGATTGACTTTGGTGACTATAGAACTGATCGTATAGCTCCCTGCATTTACAACAGCAGTTTTTGCCAACAGCTTGAACAGTTGTCGGTACCACTTCATGCGCCGTCTTGGTGCAGTACCTATTGTAAGACATCTGATATGATTTATAAAATTATTTTTTATCAGCAACATATTCCAGAATTATTTGCAGCTTGGGTATCGCAGTAACATTCCCATTCCATTTGCTGAGAAAACTATGTTATTTCAGCTTCAATGTTATATAATTCATATTTTAATTGCCGTCTTATAATAAATGCCGTGTAACTCTTACAGCGCACGATGCCCAGAAAGATATCAGTTACCGTTCCAGACGACGTGTACCAATAGAGGCTCAAGATATTTTTCTGAATCTCGTACACTCACCGAGACACGAACGGAGTACTCACCGAGACAAGAACGGAGTACACTCACCGAGACAAGAACGGAGTACACTCACAGAGA